AAAGAACTGGCTGGAGCGCCACATAGAAAGAGTTGTGGTCAATGGCTCCATGTCCAGCTAGAGACCACTAATGAGTGGTGTCCCTCAGGGATCAGTGTTGGGACCAGTCTTGTTTAACATCTTCATCACTGACATGGACGGTGGGATTGAGTGCGCCCTCAGCAAGTTTGCTGATGACACCAAGCTGTGTGGTTCTGGTTGATACACTGGAGGGAAGGAATGCCATCCAGAGGGACCTTGACACACTTGTGAGGTAGGCGGATGCCAACCTCATGAAGTTTAACCATGCCAAGTGCAAGGTCCTACACCTGGGTTGGAACAATCCCAGACACAGCTACAGGCTGGACAGAGAAGAGATTCAGAGCAGCCCTGCGGAGAAGGACTTGGGGGTGCTGGTCGATGAGAAAATGAACATGAGCCAGCAGTGTGCACTTGCAGCCCAGAAAGCCAACCGTATGCTGGGCTGCATCAAAAGGAGTGTGACCAGCAGGTCGAAGGAGGTGATCCTGCCCCTCTACTCTGCCCTTGTGAGACCTCACCTGGAGTATTGTGTGCAGTTCTGGTGTCCTCAACATAAAAAGGACATGGGACTGTTGGAACAAGTCCAGAGGAGGGCCACAAGAATGATCAGGGGACTGCAGCACCTCCCATATGAAGATAGGCTGAGAAAGTTGGGGCTGTTCAGCTTGGAGAAGGCTGTGTGGAGACCTCATAGCAGCCTTCCAGTATCTGAAGGGGGCCTATAGGTATGCTGGGGAGCGCCTCTTCATTAGGGACTGTAGTGACAGGACAAGGGGTAATGGCTTAAAACTTAAACAGGGGAAGTTTAGATTGGATATAAGGAGGAAATTCTTTCCTGTTAGGATGGTGAGGCACTGGAATGGGTTGCCCAGGGAGGTTGTGAATGCTCCATCCCTGGCAGTGTTCAAGATCAGGTTGGACAAAGCCTTGGGTCAGATGGTTTAGTGTGAGGTGTCCGTGCCCATGGCAGGGGGGTTGGAACTAGATGATCTTAAGGTCCTTTCCAACCCTAACTATTCTATGATTCTAAGATAGGCAGACTGAGATCTTCAACTCAGCTTGCCATGATGTGGACAGTTTTTCAAATGTAGGTAGTTGTTTCCAGTATTGCTCCTAAAATGAGCTTATGCCCCTCACATAAATCTTTCTTGCTGATTTTTGGTTAAAGCTTGGTAGCAATTTTTTAGGCCCAGTGACTGAGTCTCTCCCTTGTGCAGTGATAAATGCACCACCACTATGCAACAGAAGCAAGCCAAATTAAATAAAGCTAACTAAAGTCATTGTTTCAGAACAAGAGACGCACACTAAATCTTGTTATCAGACATTCACTGTAATGCAATTTTAGATCTAATATGTGTTAGTGATTTAAATTACAGTTAAGTTCAATCTTCGCCCATAACAAGTGAAACGCATTTTTGGAAAAAAAAAAACCCACCAACAAAACCCCCCCCCCCCCCCAGTATTTTGAGTTCTATAATGCTGACAATTGTACAGCCAAAAATAACAGTAACAGAAGCAGCTAATGACTCAAACTTTCTAAACTATGCAGAAAAAAAAATCTTAGGTCATACAAGTAGTTTTACTAAATGAGCATGGTTAATCAACACAGCAAAAGCTAATTTAGTTACATATGTAAATATTGTACGTAAACCGCTTAGTAACCAAATTTATGCTTTTCAGCTGATTTTTATTTTGGCATTTTTAAAATAGTATCAAATCATCTTGAAAATGTTTTTGAAATATACTTAATTATTTTGAAAATCCAGTTAATGCAGCTGACTACCTGATAATTATATTTTGCCTGGATTCCACTGCATTGTAACATTTTCATGTTGCCCAAATAGAGCTTGTTTCAGGATAATTTTCGTTCATTCCTGAATCTAAACCATGATGCCACCCATGAAGTACAAGAACCCAATATAATGTGTGTGCTTCATAATTCAGAAATTGGGTACTGAATACCCTTGTGATTTAACTTAAATGTGTAAACCCTTAGCCATGGATTTTCAACTGACAGATCCCCTTAGCAGTCTGTAGCCATGCACAGAAAATTTATTTCTAACAAAACCAGAGTCGCTTCCTTTAGCTACTGCCCACAGACTCCTTGCTGTTATTTCATGGACTCCAAATTTCTAAAAGCAGCACTGCAGACTAATTAATTACCTAGAGCTGGCTGGTAACAAGACAGATTAAATTAACTTATGTAGTAGAGGATGGGAACTTGAGAAATAATATGTCATATTTAAACTCAACAGCATAAAGGTCATTTGTTACTTTGAACACATTTCCTTCTTCAGAAAGAGCAGCAATAAATAGCATAGCATGGAATGCAAAAAAAAAAAAAAAAAATTATTCTGTCACTGCAAAATAAAACACGATTCAATGGTCAATTGGTATTAAATAGCCTGTCTTTAAACCAACAGTACAATTATCTGGTCTTTATATGGCTACTGCCACATTAGGGATAAGTGTAACATAAGTAACTTACAAGTGGGTTTGCTATAGAGGTGATGAGGGTAAGGAAATCCACAGTCCCCAAAACCTTACTGCAGCATTAGCAAAGCACAGACCAAGAAAATGAAGTATTTTTGCAGTGATACCATAGCTTTCACACAATTTTTATAGCTGTTTTTAAGGATAACTTGGCAAGCACTTGCTGGCTCATGGCAGGCTTTGGCTCACTTACATAAAGGTGGGAGTGCACTGTCAGGGGGTGATGTGCTAGCTCTGCCCCCAAATACTTCTAGAGGAGGGAATCAGAGGGGCAGAGGGCTAAGAAAGAGGAAAAGGTGGGGAAAGGGCCCAGAAGCCTCCTAGTGAGCTGTTACTTTGTTTCCAAACCCAGCATCTATGCATGTCTGTGCAGGAGCTGAGCAGTCAGTGAGAGGCAACTTATTGACAGAACTGGAGGTCGTAGGTACCCATAGAAAATTTTTTCACTTTTTGAAGAATGAAGGACTGTAGTACTGCCCTGGAAAAAAGATGGCCTAGAGGTTTGTCACAAGTGAAGGGTAATGGGGCTAGCAAACAGAGTCTAGAACAGAGATATGGCCAAATCCCAGCCCTCAAGATTCAGTGTGAGCTGCAGTATCTGATCAACATTCCAGATTGATCTGTTTAGCACCTTGAACTAAGTCAGGATCAGCCTGCAGCTGACAAATTTGGCAGGTGAGAGAGAAGACTGCACCTTAGGAGAAATCAGGTGGAGGCCTGACAGACCAGCATCCCAATGGGGACTTGCAACAGGTACAGGGCATAACTACACCTACAAACCGAACACAGAGAGAGACATGCTTCAGATATGCGATATGTTTAAGGAAGTTGTTTAAACTGTTGCCCACTTCATAGCAGGGCTGCTTGAACACAACTTGAGTATTCCTCAGGAGTGGCTTCACTTGCAAAGCCTTACACAAACAGTAGGAGAGGATTTTAGTTAATCTCCTGGGGACAGGATCACCAGAGGTACGGTGCTCAACAGAGGGTCAGTGGAAATGCAGTACTCACCAGGTGACCACGGGGATGCAGTGCATCCAGATCCAGCAGAGCAAATCCTCACCTTGAATTCTGGCACAAATTTCAGTAGTACTTGGCCTCTGCAAAAACTGTTCAGGAGTAACAGAATGTTGCTTACAAAACTTACTGCAACCCCCTTTGTCTACCACTGCCGTTTCCCAAGTAGTGTTTCAATTAGGTTTCTAAACAAGGTGTGTTAGAAAAGGCATACATGCCACAACTACTTCCTTAAATACTGAGAGTATTAAAGAACTGAACAAGAGATAAACCCGAAGACTAGAGGGTGCCAAAATAGCTAATGATATTTTCTTGAAAGGAATGTCTGATTGATAGGAAGTCCAACGAATGACTTCTACAAATAGTGGCACGGAGCCAGTCCACGTGACTCAACGCTGCCAGGCTAAACAGTAGCTCGAGAGCTACATAGCCCAAACTGCATCAACATCTGGCAATTCCCACATTTCAGCTTGAAAGACCACCTGGTCTCGACTTCAGGTGGATGTAGAGAATGTCAAAACCTGGAAGGGGCTTCCCAGAGGCCACCGCCAACCAGAGCTCAGCGCTGTCCCTCCTGAGTAGGGAGGCCAGGAGACAACAGGCCGGTCAGCTCCGTCCGCCTCTCCCTAGGAGCTCCAGGGCTGAGCCACCGTGAACGGTTTCCCCTAGTAGGGAGTGGGCACCTTCAGCAGGGCAGAAGGAGTGGCTGGGGAGCCGAAGGGCCAGCTCCAGAGCCCCGACACCGGCCAGGCCCTCCCGCACGGGGTGAGCGGGCGCTGTCGACAGCCCCTCCGTTACTGGAACCTGGTCCCCCCCCCCCGCCGCAGCTCCTCTCATGCTGCCTCCGCGGGGGCCGGGGTGCGCCAGGCTCCCGAGGCGACAGCCCCGAGGAGCAGGAGGCGTCGGCAGCTGCTCTGGCGCCGGCTGCGAAAAGCGCCTCGCCCCCTGGCGAGGGCCGATAGGGCAGGAAAACCCGCAGAGAGAGTAGATAATCGGGCCGTGCCCCCCGCCGATAAGGGGGCAGAGGACCTGGGGCTGCCGGTCCCGCCGCTCTTCTCCCCTAGCTGGCCAGGGCCAGCGTGGCTCCGAGCGGCTCCTAAGGGAACGCAGCTCCGCGCCCTAAGAGCCGGCGAGTCGCAGACGGCACACGCTGCACCGCGAACGCACCCCGCTTCGCCCGGGCGGCGACGGGGCCTGACGAGCAGGGCGGGGCACTGCGCGCGCGGATCCCCGCAGCCGGGAAGCCAATAGGGGCGGACGACGGCGGGCCAGAGCCAATGGGCCGGGCCGGGCCGGGCCGGGCCGGAGCAGGGCGGGGCGCTATGGGCCGCGGCAGCACCGTCCCGCCGTAGGGCCGGCGCTGGTAGCGCCGGCGCACTGCCCCCCCTCCCCTTAGCGGCGGTGGCGGCAGCTGCTCCCCCTGCGCAGGCGCCGCAGCAGCCGCGCTGGGCCCAGCACCCCCGCCGGGGCGCGGCGCTGCCCAGCGACGGGGCTGGCCCGAAGCTGCTCCGTGAGGAGCGGCGGCTCTTTCCCCGCCCCGGCGGGCCCTGCACGGCGTCAGTGAGCGCCCGGCGGGGCGGTCGCGCCCCTCCCTCTCTTCTTCATTCCCTCCCTCCCTCCTTCCCTTTCTCCGCCCGCCGTGAGGGCGGGAGGGAAGTGGCAGCCCCGAGCGGGAGACGAGGGAGGCGGCGCGCCGGGAGCCATGCGGGAGTACAAGGTGGTGGTGCTGGGCTCGGGCGGCGTGGGCAAGTCCGCCCTTACCGTCCAGTTCGTGACGGGTTCCTTCATCGAGAAGTATGACCCCACCATTGAGGACTTCTACCGCAAGGAGATCGAGGTGGACTCCTCGCCGTCAGTGCTGGAGATCCTGGACACGGCGGGCACTGAGCAGTTCGCCTCCATGCGGGACCTCTACATCAAGAACGGGCAGGGCTTCATCCTGGTATACAGTCTGGTGAACCAGCAAAGCTTCCAGGACATCAAGCCCATGCGGGACCAAATCATCCGAGTGAAGAGGTACGAGAGGGTGCCCATGATCCTGGTGGGCAACAAGGTGGACCTGGAGGGCGAGCGGGAGGTCTCGTTCGGGGAGGGCAAAGCCCTGGCCGAGGAGTGGAGCTGCCCCTTCATGGAAACCTCGGCCAAAAACAAAGCCTCGGTGGACGAGCTCTTCGCGGAGATCGTCAGGCAGATGAACTACGCCTCGCAGCCCAACGGGGACGAGCAGTGCTGCTCCTCCTGCGCCATCCTCTGAGGGCGGCGGCGGGCCGGGGCTCGGCGGGAGCGGAGCGGCAGCGGGAGCGGCCCCGCGGGCGGGCGCGCTGCCCTCGGCGGCCGCCGACACCGAAGGCACTCAAAACATAAACAAAAAAACCCGAAAAAAAATCGTGTTGGAAATGTGGCTTTTTTCGGCATGTACATTTCGTCCAGTCCTGGTCGTGGCATATCTCCCGTCGGTGTCTCCGCGGCGTGCTGCCCCGCGCTGTGACACCGGGAGGTCGACGCCGGCGAGGAGCTGCCCCGGCCCGCGTGGGGAGCGGGACCAGTGCGGATCCCCCTTTCCCTGCCCCGCCGGTGCGAGGATCGCTATGCAAAGTTGCAAAGTCGGGGATTGTGCCGGGGCGCCTGGCCCGGGACGTTGCACGTCTGACCCGGGACGAACTCGCACCCTGCTGCAGCCCGGCGCGGGGTGCTGGGGAGCGCCTGCGACGAGCCGTGGGATACCTTCCTATTCTGTTTACCTGCTGTATCGGATGGGAGTTTGCAGGAGAGTGGTAGCGTGTTGGGTTTTCCCTGGGTTTTGTTTTGTTTTTTAAAATCAGCTGTGAAAATGTTACAACTCTGCACAATTTTTTAGGTGTGCGTGTGTGTGTGATTTCGTTTTCATTTTAATTTTTCTTTTGGTGGGTGGGAGCGGTGTTTTTTGTGTTTTTTCTTCCAAGGGTTTTTCTTTTTAGGTTGGCAATAACTGATTTTGATGACTAGCTCTCTAAAGTGCAAAGACTTCCTATATGTGATGCAGGGCCAACAGCAGCCCTGTGTCTGTAGAGTGCCTTCAAAACTCAGCTGTTCCAGCCGGTGCCAACCTGTGAAAGCTCCACAGAATCCCATTATCTGCTACTTCAAAAACTACTTAACAGTTTCCTTGCAGTAATCATACCGAACAAACCAGGACAAAAGGGCCTATTGTCAGTGGAATTTATTTCTTATTTCCATCTGAGCCTTTTAACTGTTATTTCCATGTCTTGCAAGTTCGGGCTTCATTTACTTCAAATTTACAAGAATTTAGCCTTTTGGTTTTTTTTGGGGGGAGGAGGGCTTTTTTTTGTTTTCCTTCCCCCCCCCCCCCTTTGGTTTTGTTGTGGAATGTACCTCCAGCCAGCAAAGAAGGAAATCTTATCATTGTGATGTACCAAGAAAATTCTAACAACTGTCATTTTAATTCAAGACATGCATTCAAGAGATGTCTATCCATTTTAAGAATTTTAATACAGATGCTGTTTTTTAGAAAACAAATTTGTGCGCTTTTATGTATTACATGAAACACTAACTTTCACATAGCCTGTTAATCCTGGTTTATATCTTAATAGAAGTGAAAGGGAGGGGGGCTCAATTAGCTAAGGACGGTGTTTAAAAAGAAAAGACCACAAAAGACCACAAGATTGCTATTTTACATAATATTACAGTTTTTCATTTGTGTTTGTGTCCTGACCCTATGTGATGGCAGCATATGAATGGAAAGCTGTATTCAGTAGGCAGCTTTAGGAAGGTAGTGTGGCTTTAATGCTGAAGGCCTTGTCAGATTAGGCTCTTATTCCTTACTGGGAGCAGTATTTATTGGGGTAAAATTCTAAAGGTTGATTAGTTATAAAATTTAAGCTTCTAATGTCTTTAAAATTATGCATCAGACCCATATATCTTTCCTGGTTTGCAGAGGTGGAAGGAGACCTGCACCTTCTGTAATTTGGAAGATCTAAGGAGTTCAAGTCCATTATCTTCCTTTCAGCCCCTTCTTTAAATATTAGTGCACAAAACCTGCAAGTCTGTCTTTTTTCTTTATTTTTTTAACCCCCTATCCCAAGAAGACTTGAAATTATCTTACAACATTAAACCAGAAGTTGAGCAATGATGTGTAAAGGGGTTTTGTGAGGGGTTTTTAATCAGCCAACTGAAAACTAACTGCCATGATTCTTGCTGTGAATCTGATAATTTCTACTTTAAATAGGAAAACTTTTTGCTTCAGCACTGGAAGAACAGTGTTTAGTATTATTTTATGTATTGAAATCCCATGGAGGTCTCTTCTGAGCTCACATGTATTCCTCAAAACAGCCAGGACCTGTTCTGATACAATTAGCCAGGTTGTATCAGTCACTGATACAATCAAAGTTAAAAATAGAGATTTGGAGGAGACAGTCCCTCAACTTCTGTTTGGGCCTTTGTATAATAGACAAATTGCACCAGCTGCCCTTTTTAAGTGAAAACTGAAAACCACTTTGCAGCTTATTTTCCAGAAATCTTTAAAAATTAATTAGAAGCCAGCTCCTTGAAGACTTCCATTTTAGAATGCAGGGGGGTAATGCTTATTATTAGTAGGGGTTTCTTTTAACACAAATACTACATTGAAAACTAGAAAGCTTGACTGCCACCATGTCTGTAGTTTTAAAAGCTTCATATCTGAAGTAAATTAAAAAAAAAAGCCATAAATTTACATTTCAGCTATTGCTGTGCTTCAAATTTGCCTTAAATTCAGTGGGATTACAGAGTTTTTAGAACCCAACAGGCCTTGGTCTAGATCAGTGTATGGAAAGCAACTTGTTCTGCTTAATAAAAAACAGGTATTTATTCTGTTCTCCCCTCCAGACAACAGATTCTTCATGTTTCCTAGTGTCTCCTCTTTCTCTACTGCCTGTGTTGTGACTGAAGAATAATGCAGAAATGGGTATTTGTGGCACACAGCAGCACATAAAGTCCAGTTTTTCTCAGCCTAGCAGAGCAGCTGAAGCCAGCCTAGTAAATACCAGGTTATGCTAGGCTTTTCTGTAGATACATTCTATTTCTTGCCAAAAAGTTGTGTTCATTAAACAGTGAAGCATTTAAGAAACCATGGCATGGGTCTAATCAGAGTTTTGAATGTATTTAGGTGTTCAATGTTCTCTATGACTTGGTGAGGACAGTACAAAAAGTAAAGCTCAGTAGTCTGATCTTCCAAATACTCTGAAGTGTTTTGGTGCTTGTTAAACATAGGCCTTGTCTATAAAGTAGAAAAAAAGTAATACTGCTTTAACTTGACCGAATAATGAAAGCTATATTAGCTTCTACACTTGAGGAAAATGTTGTATCAATATGAAGGTACTCTTTTATTCCTTTTCCCTGTGGGAATATGTTATATCCGTGCCAATACAAAGGTGGTATATAGCTCTTTTCAAAGTGAGAATTGCAAATATTTAATTGATTTGTAAGAAAAAATACATTCCCAGGCAAAATACTTCCTGACAGTGCAGAGAATGTATAAACAAGGCCTTAGTTTAAGGCTGGTCTTACGGCCGCATTTTTTGCTGTACATAATGATTGTATTTTTTAAAATCCAAGCTTGTTCTATTGCAAGAAAGTGTGTCTTTGAAATCCTAGTCCCTGTGATTGTAACTGTGCAGTATTCTTGACCTCATTTTCAATACAAATGTGGTTCTTCTCAACATGATGCTCAGGCTTTATTGATGTTTATGGTTCTGGAGATGTTGAATTATGTGGCTGTGGGATTCCTGATGGTTCTGCTTCTCTCAAAAGAATGTACAGCAAGTTTTTGGGGCATTTTAAATAAAGGGCAGCTGGCTCTTTATAACTTCTTCATTTGGATACTCATTGCGCACAGGTGTTGTACCAAATTCCCTCAGGAGTGACAAAATGCAGAAACTTCCATGTTCTTTAAGAATTTTCTACAAAAAGCAGTGGCATGTGTGTTCTTCTCCCATTCAAATCAATGGGCAACTCCAATGACTGTAAATGGAAAATGGTTCAAACTCTCTTGTTAGAAGCTGTCTTGCTCTCCAGGTTTGTATAGCAGGCAACCTAGATGCTCTTCTTTGTGGACCCTCTGTATCTTTAGGAACTACTGTTAGGAGTGCCCATTCACGTTATGGTGAGATTTGAGATTTGCTGTAGAAGCAAGTATGCGTATGAGCTCTGTTCAAAGGTGAAATAGTTCTAAATCATCTTCATAGTTTATAGCCTCATGCAAAATATGTCAAAAAGATTCTCCTTCCTGTCATGCTCATAGCACTATTCTAGAACCTCATTTTTGTAGGAATCTATCATCTGCTCAACTTCTAAAACATTTTATTGGGGCTGACCATCTTTGATAAATGTATGCATAGCAGATACTTAATTTAAACTTGAAGATATTCAACTGAGTTACAGTGTTGAGAAATGTGGTATGTTGCTGGGTGTGTTGGGTTTAATTTCCTTTTGTTGGTTTGTTTTTTAATTTGAGTAGACTAAGGATTTTTTCGTCTGTAACCAAGAATCTCACTGTATTTCCCAAATAAGAATTACTCTCTGTATGTGCGTCTATTTTGACTTCACTGGGGTTGGAACTGAAATTCTTGCCTACACCACAGATGATCTCAACCTCAGTGATCTCAATTCTGTGTGTAGTCAGTATCACGCTGAAGAAAACGCCCAATGAAACCTAAACTGTTTCACCGATAAAGGGCTAGAGCAGACAGATTTACATGCAGAAAGCTTAAGAACAGCCATCAAAATTTCCCTATTTTAATTTTTTTCAAAGGGTATGACTGCTCTAATACACATCACTTGCTGCTTTACTACTGTTGGTGCTAGAGCACAGTGATTCAGTAGATGACATATTGTGCACAAAAGAAATACTAGATGTAAATATTTCATCTGCAACATCTAACAAGCTTTTAGATCCTATATAGAGCACTGCAAATTAGAAGTCAGTTTACCAGATTTTGTAGATTGTTCAAATAAGTCTTAAAGTATTGGAAACAGCTGCTCTGTAATGATGTTATTTTATTTTGCAAGTCTCTGGGTCTTTTGGGCATTTGAGCAAAGAGGAGGTTTCATCAAGAATACATAGCTTTGTTTTGATAATCTTCAGCAGAGATATTTTTAGCAAAAGGGTGTCTGACACGTAACTTTAATGATTTAAACTTCTGCAAAGTTCTTTAAGGTAATGTTATGAAAAGTGCATAGTTAATAGCTCTGATGTCCAGGTAACAGACAGATCCCAGGTGTTGCTCCTCTGCTTGACTGACTGATCATGATTGCAGAAGACATGCTGCAGCAACCAGACTGCTCAGAATGACATTACCATTTTTTTTCCTTTTGATATAGTCTTGTTGCCCTGCTGTATTATGGTGCGAAGATGAAATGGGATGTTTGAAGTTGTTTTTGAAGATGGTTGTAAGGGAACTTCTGGATGAAAAATTAATCTAATTGGAATTTGTTTGGGGTTTTTTGCTTCCTTCTTTTTTTTTTTCCTTCCCACCCCACCCCCTTCTCTAGGTATTAGTTCCCTGAATTAGGTATTGAAAAAAGGTACAGGTTAGCATTGGTATCAGTATTCCCCTACTAGTTTCTCATTTATGCATGTATTCATATAATGCTTTGTTTCTGCAGTGTTACTACTGTTATCCAAGTTCGAACAATTAGGATTAATACTTACAAATTCAATTACTTTGCTAGAGGTAGAATTGCAGGTAAGGCAATAAGCATTGAGCTACAATTGAATATTTGCATTTGCTCTGTCACTAGTAGGCAAGATGTTCAGGGGTAGAGCCTGATGTGAGTACTTGCAAAGAGGTTTTGTTTTAGCTGTTAGAAGTGATCTACTTAAAGCGTTCCTGAGAAGCATGATGATTGATACCCTTGTGATAGCATTTGTGCTGAGGGTTGAGGGCAGATGCAAGAATAAGATGATTTGCTGTTGAATTAACTTGAGTTTATCATTTCTCTGTCTTGCAAAGGGATTGCAAAACTGGTAGGGTTCCTTCCAGCTATGGTGTCAGCAGTCCTGACATGGGGAAGCATTATGCTTTCGTGATGGGAGAGATCATTTAAGTTCCTTACCATCTTGCTGCCTGTAAGTAGTTTACTGCATCTGTGACAGAGTTAGAAATTAAAATGAGGGAGCAAGAAGTTTCTGATTTGCGGAGTTGTAGCAAGAATGTTCAGCTTGGCCCTATATCAAAGCTGTGCCCTGTTCCTGGTTTCCAGCAAAAGCTTTCTATACCTCAGTTTCTCCAACTCTATATTTTGTGGAAATGTTCATTTCAGTGCAAATGAACTGATTTTGCATGAGCATTTGGCTCAAATTGCAGCATCAAGTAAAGGAAGAAGATCGTGAGAGGGGCTGGGGACGCAAGAAAGAATGCCATCAGTTACAAATATGTGGATTTTTTTCCCTCTTAAGACAAACCTACATACTGAAAGCAAGCTTTTGAATACTAAGTGACTAGCAGAAGTCTTGGTTTAACCAAGCCTTATGCTTAAATCAGAAAAGATACTTAGAAGCCCTTTAGAGTTGGAAGTATGGTACTTGAATGGTTTTAGAGAATTATCTTTGTAAATTTTCACCAACCTTGGTTTGTTTAAATATTCTAAGAATGATTTATTGTTGTGATAGTTATCACTAGATAGAGGATGTGTTTAAATATAATTTCATATTTATATTAGCTTAGTACTGTAAGTATCTCCATGTTGTAGGGATTGATAGACATGGTAGGCATTAAGTGAAGGTCTGTTTACTTACTGAAGGTAAAGAATCAAAAGATCCAGGATTCTGCTTTCAAAAATTATGATGAAAACAAGAATGCTTAACGTGATTTTCTGAGTTTACAGATGACTTCTTGTTGCTCAAAGTAATAGCATTTAGATGGGAGATGATTGTCTCTTCTCTTCACTGCTGTGTAACTAGCTGTGCCGTTGCATATTCTGCCTGTAGTGAGAAGAAAAACCTGTGTGACCCTTCTGCTGCCATGAGGGCATGATTGGGCTGGCTTCATGACTTTGTTGCTCACTTGGAGCTCTGGCATTCTTCCTCTTGTAGACTACGGGGGGGGGGGGGGGGGGGGAGGAGTTCTGATGATGCAATGATAATGAAGTGATTGCTTATCAGACCCCTGGGATGGAAGGCTGGCTCTCTCAGTTGACCTTACAGCATGCTCCTGTGGCTAACATACAGCACCCTCAGCAGATGACAGTTTGGCATGTTGAGAAAGAGCTATACACATGCATTGTGCCCACTCTTGCTTGTCCAGAAAGGTAGTTTGAAAGGTAAGTATTCTGCAGATATCTTTAAAATACTTTCTGTAGATCCATAAAACAGATACATTTTAGAGGTCGAAACAGTGAATCTTTTTGTGTTTCTTAAAAAATATGTAATGTCACTTCCGTTTAAGTTCGTCTACTGGACCTTAGTTTCTTCCCCTTGCACAGTACCCCTAATACAGCAACAAAACCTGCTTCTTCAGCTTCTTGTGAGTGATCAGAAACTAAATGCATGTTCAGTATTTTCCGCATGTGTAACAACTGTAAGTTTGGGGTGTTATTGTACATACCTGTCCATGACGGTGTATTAAACGATGTACCTCTTCTGCATTTTTATGAGACTAATATAAGGGATTAAGAAGTAGCAGCATAGGGCTGGCAAAATACTGGTTAGGTAGGGCAGGAATCTGCAGTGGAGCACTATGTTTGGGGTTATGGGGTGAGACTGGAAGTAGGACACACGTTCCTAGATTTTCTAAGCAGCAGATGTGATTTGCATGGAAGGGTAGGAAGCAGGATGTCTTGCTGAGGGCAGGAGGAGTTCAGGAGAAGATGGGTTGAATTTTTTTTGTTTCAGGTACAAAGAACATTGTTTTGTGCATATATGTTGTGGATTTAGGTTTGGGTTTTTTTTTTTGTCCCCTTTATGGTGCTAAGCAGATTTGAAAGTGCAAAGAAAGCTTGTGCAATGTGTGTGTTATCCACCAAGGATGATTTAGATGTTCTGTGTTTATATTGAGTTTGATAGATTCCCTACACCACTAATTGCCAAAAATCTCTTTTAAACTATGTGGAAATTTATAATGATATGGTTACAACGTGACTCAATGTAGTTGGGAGCCTTATGTATTTAAGAATGAGATTAGTGATAACTTCATTCCTTGAATGAACTACTATAATATTACATACCTCAATTTAGTATAGTGAGTTTGCTGCCAAGTTCAGTCGATGATTAACAAAGTTAACATGAAAGCACGCTAACAAAGTAATTGAGCAATTAAGAGATCTTGATTTCTCTTCTTTTTGGAATACCCTGCCGTGTTCCAGGTTGGCTATTTTCTGCTGGGTTTCTTGTTTCAAATGTTGTGTTTGCTTTAGTGTGGGATTTGGTTTCTCTTTTGATGATGAATCTTTAATTTTTTGCCTTTAATTAATGGAAAAAATAGAGAGGAGATTCACATTTGAATTGCTGTATAGCACAAGCTGCCTGGATTCCAAAAATACATGGCATGCACTCACATATTTTTGCAATAAGAAGAAGTTTAAGGAGAACACTATGTCTAAGGTATTTCCAAGGCCTGGACTTAGCAGAGAAACAGCTTGAAAAAGCTTATTACCAAAGAACTAGGTCAGCGTGGAAGTGAATTGGAGTGTTCACAGATACTTACAGCATTACTATACTTCGACCTCTGTAGTGAGAGTGAAACTTACAGATTTATGAACATAAATATCTATGCATATATACAAAGTTGTACATGGTATCCTCAATTTGGGAAACAGCCACATTTTTCTACTCTTAGCACAAAAAATGAGAAATTGAGTGCTTACACTCACCGAGTATCAGACCAGTAGTGTAGAAACTTAGGTATTTATTTAGCCAACTATGAGCACCTAAAAAGAGTTTTCTTGATTATTTTCAAGCATTTTTGACCTGGCACAAATTAATTTTCAGCATTGCTAAACCAGAAAATCACTGTGGTTTTTAAATGTGTGCAGCCTTTTACCAGCTATAGGGATAGCAACCTGTCAAACTTGTCTGAATTGTTTGTGGTCAGTGCTGTCTCTGAATAAAACTTCTACCTTGTGTCTTTCCTCTGTATTTCTTGTGCTAAGGAGATGAAAACCAAACCTGTCAACTGAACCACTGAGAAGTTCAAGGATAGGTATTCTTGGATTCTTTATGGACTTTATGATAGATTGGAATTGCTCAATGTGCATTGTTGCAGCTTGTTTCAGGTGTTTGTGAGACACTGACATTCTCCATCATCACTCAGGGTTTTCCAGTGCTTAGAGTAGTTAACAGAAATTAATTGATGGGTAACTGGAGTTCATTTGGCAAGTGTGTTTGTGCATACTAACACAAAGACATAAACTGTATTATTCCAGGATGTAAACAAACGCTAAACAAATGTGTTTGGTATCCTAGTTGCTTGCAATAGATTTTTTTAATATAGCTTTATAACCGAAGCTGCATTTGTATAATGACTTCCGCTGATATGAACCTGAAGTCAACTTGTTTTCTGATTCTGTAAATGTATGTATGCTGAATTGCTTGTTCTTTTGTAACCCTATTGAAATCAGAGCCTTATTTAAGCAAATGAGAGCACAATTTAACCCTAGTCTGCATTTTAAATATTTCACATGCACCTATAGTGTGATCTTTGTCCTTTTTAAAAGTTATGATTTCATTTAAAAAACAACAACGATGAAAGAAAAACAACAACAAAAAGCCTTCCCCTGCACCTTTAGTTGGATTTTTCAGATGGAAAAAAAAAAGGCATAGTTAAGGTAGAAAACTAGAAAGAGAGGCACCTTCTGTTCTTTTCAGAGATGAGTCCTGCCTTGTGCGTGCTCTCCTGTGCAAAAAGCAGTCCCCTGCAATGCTCTTTCCATATGGCTACGTAGTTTTCTAGGACCCAGTCAGACTCTCCTGTTTCGGATGCTCGTAGGGCTGGTCAGAACATGTCTTGGTCACGTGGAGGGGTTATCTGCTTTGTGCCTGCTGGTAAATGATTCCCGTCTACTGGGTGATTACTCCACAGTAGTTCACCAGGCACTTGACAGAGCAGGGATGTCTGTTGCCTTGATCCTTTTGTGTGCCCTGAATCAGGCATACTGCAACGCCTTATGGTGCCCCATGGGATGGGCAGCTTTGCAGCTGAAGCAGTTGTGGTAAATGTTCATGATCCCTCTAAGCAAGTACTAAGGTTGCATCCAAAGCACTCTTCTCTGCAGCTGCTCGGTGCTGTATCAAAAGAGCATAAGTTAGATGAAGCCATCACTTATTTTTTTTATTTTACAGCAGATGCCAAGAGCTACATAAGCCCTTGAACTATGTCAGAACTGGAGGGAGAACAAAGGTGCCCTGAGCTTGCCTTTCCCTCCTGCCCTTGTCTTCCCTGTGTCCAGAAACTGACCTTTGTGAGCCTTGGAGTCTGTGGGTCACTGCAGGGGTGTATGCTCCACATACATGAAAACATACATATTCTAAAATACAATAAAAAATGCAGTTCTGTACTTCAGGAAGCAAGACTTCTGCATTGCTTTGGTGTAAGTACTGTACTGTACAAGCTTAGAAAAGAGAAGTATTAGTCTTTTGGGTGGCCCCACCCTCCACTCTCTGAAGGAAAATGGAAATATTTCTCTCTCAAACCCAAAGGTTAGATGTAGAACACATGATTTGAGGAAGCTCGAAATTGAACCAATTTTAAACTTACAATTTTTATTCACTTGAAACTGGGTCAATTTCAAATCAATCTTTCGGAAAGATTAAATACACTTACTTAAAAAAGGGGTTTTGTGATGATCAATCACAGTGCTTGTCAAATTAACAGAAAGGGTTGATTCAGTGGAGTGTAGAAAAAAGGAATGTTTTACTCATGCATTATAGTGTTGCAGCAGGTAACAGGATCCATTCTCAGTTGTGGCTCCAGTTTTCTTTCAAGGGTAGGTATTAAAGTCTAATAACTATCCATAGGGAATAAGAAATATTTTTTTAAACCCTCAGAAAAGGTTCAGTCTAAACACCAGTGATTGCAGGACTCAGGGAAGATTATGATAATTTATTTTAATTACCAATGCAAAACAGGTTATATATCTGTGCTTCACCATCTTGTGGAAAATCTAACATTCAAAATGTAGCATAATGAGATTTTGATTTATGCAAACTCTCTGGACGACAGTATGCTAGTCTCCTGTTTTGCTGCCCATAAGGTTGCAGTGATAGGAAGTTTATGTTTCGCTGATGGTTGGTTCCTGGCAAGACTTGTCTTATGAGGCTGAAATAAACTCTTGACTGATGGGGTGGTGCTTCTGCCTGCTACTGGTGCTTTTCAGGGCTATAATGATACCATACGGAACAGAACAGCTTTGTCGGCAGGTGTCGGGTTGTCCCCCTCCAGAAAACCTGTCATGTGGTGATTAGAGCCTTTCCTTGGGAAGGTGACCATCTTGTGGGATTCTGGTCTCTCCAGCAGGTGTTCTGCATGGTGAGCTTCCCACAGGCATCAGTTCAGCTTGTGTCCGTCCAGCAGAAAGTTGTGAGGCTGAAGAACAAAGAGTGATGGAGCCTCCCCTGTTCACAGCACCAGAAGCCCATTTCTCTGTTTGCCTGGAGTTGCTACAGAAGCTGTGCTTGTTTGTCTTTTCTTTGGTGGATGGTTTTGCCTGCCCCCTTCATAGCTGCGGAAGAAAAATGTTTGCAGATCTCGACATTCTTCACTGTTCTCAGCTTCCTCGTCTCTTCCCTTTTACACACACATACTTCTGCTTCCTCCCATTCTACTCCAACAGGAAAAAAAAGAAAAAAAAAAAAGTAGTAGTTAAACTCATATTTGGGGTGCTAAGTAGGAAGCACATGATACTGTGTCTGAATTTGGAGTGGTGTGAATGTTCTGTTCAACTGCAGCCCCCCTCAGTTCCCCACTGCATGCCCCCATGAAGATGGGTAGCTGCAGAAGTGATTATTCTGCACTGCCTGATGCCTCCAGCACCTGAGGGCAGAGCGTCATCTTATTCCTTGGCATAATGGAAAATGCAATGAACACTGCAGCATGAAATGACTAGCTCAAGAGGTTTACACAAAGGTTACAAATAATTTAAATTTCCAATCATGGTTTATTCCAGACACTGCTAATTTCACTGGGCGTAGAACTGGCACCATGTGACAGAAGCTCTGCCTTAATCTGAAAAATAATCTACCTGGTGAATTGAAATGCCCTCATTCTAAGCATGGTGTGGGACATACAGTCTTCAAGCTCTGAGCAATAGTAACTGGACCTGCAGTCTCTAAGCAAATAATGCTGATGAATGTTCAGAGTTTAAGAGTTTTTAAAGTAAAATGGTTTGTTCTGGTTAAAAGTAGTCACCATGCTACTGACATCCCTTTATCTGTTGAATTATCTATTGAATTATTTGGAACATAATGCTGAATAAGTTGATGGATTTCTTGTTTATGGGCTACTGATTTCTACTGTATTGATTAGGCATCTTGAATGCATGCATCTTCATGTTTGTAGACAAGTCTGAGGTAACAGAAGTAATGCTGTGTCTCCATCCTTAGGGTTCATTTTGCAAGCAGGTTTCTCAGAAAGTGATATTTTTGGCCATGTGTTCATGGCATCTTCTGGATCTGTATGTTCATCAGGCCCCATCTCTTAGTGGGAGGTGTACATGCTTTCACACAGTGGTGCTGTTTGTAGAACTGTTATAAAGTGATGGTGTCAGGAGATCTTGGTAGTTAATGGCACTTGGTGTGACATTTCATGGACAACAAATCCATGCTCCTCAGCAAGCTGGTGTTGCAGGAAGTGCCTGATGGAGCCCTACTCTCACTTTCCTCCTATCTACACACTGGGATCATGTGACGCTTTATATATAAATATACATATATATATATGCATATAAAAATATAAAACTACTGATGTACTTGTGGGAGGACATGGGCATCATGTGGCCTGGGGTGGCCAAGTAACCTCAGAAAGCCAGGCCACCCCAGGTTCTGGGTCTGCAGAGCAGCCATTGGCTCTGGGCCGGGACCCCAGCATGTGCACATGGCAGAGGCAGTGAGCCTGCGAAAGGGCCTTATGGAGCAGCTGTTTTCTGAAGGTTTGCAGCTGCGTAATTCAGGCTTGGGAGTTAGAGTAATTGACTTTGGAAGAGAAAATCATTGTGTGCATTATAGCCTTTTTCTCAGCCATACTAATTTCCTAATGTTTTAGGAGTTGGCATTTATGTTTCTCCGTAACAGGGTAAAACAAAACTGGCTGGCATTTCAAACATTTCAAAGACTGTTTGTGGAAAATCTGAGAATAAACATACTTTTTTTTTTAGATCACTGTCTGCTTCACGTTGTATTTGGACTGACAAATTCCAGGTTTGATTCCTGAAGGGGACTAAGTGCATTAACTCCTGCCATTAGCCTGTCACCTCCCACGTCAGCCATGGCTATCAGCAAATAGTAGTCCTGGGCACAGGGGAAGAGTTTCAAGAGCAATATACTTGATGTTTTTTCAGCTGAAAAGTGCCAGCGAGGGCCTTAGTCTATATGGATTAAGAAGGTTTTTCTTGTTGCCAGGGCTCATTTTTATTGCCTATGTTTTCCTTTTGTGACTAGCCTAAATGGAATCAGTGCTACTGCCTGAAGTGTGTGGCAGTCAGGATTGGAGATACATTTTTTTATTTTCATCATCATAAAGATCTGTAAGAAGCTAACTTACAAAGACAAGATTCCATGCCATTGTTCACAAGGACAGTAAACATGATGTCAACAGCCTTCTTGTATATTATACAGCTAGTTACCATGTACATGAATTTAATTCCTTTTTATGCCATTTGCACTATTATCACAAGTGTAGCTGATACTTGTGATTGGAGATCAACTATTACATGCTTAGACATTTCATTAACACAAATAAGTCATAATTGATTTAAGGAGAAGAAAACCAACTCTTAGCCTTAATTTCTTAAAACAGCTCTTCACAATAACTGATGTCTCCATGGGTGTTCATTGATACTTATATGCATGGAGCTGTTTTTCTGATTTCGGCATGTGTGTAATAAAAATGATAATTTATTCTTTCCATATTTGATCTTGACGGACATGACCTTTTACCTGTGCTGGTGCCAGCTACCCCTTCTGTGCTGGAGAAGGCATGTAGCTCCCTGCTTGGGAAAAAGACAGTGGAACAGGTCATGGGGAGAGCAGGGGAAATTAGAAAAGGGGAATAGAAGTTGTTAAATCAATACCAGGGTGGTACGAAACTTCAGATCTATTTTTTTTGTTTACACTTAGTTTCCACAGAATGGAGAGGAAGATATTTTGTGCTCAGGAAGTGTCTGGAATTTCACTTGGAAATTTCAGATACAGTATTTATTTCATGCCATATAAGAAGAAATAGTATGGGGTTTGCTCCACTGATTTACCAATATATTATTAAATAGATATATTTATTAATCTGAAAAAGTATTAACTATACTGTATATGCTTACTTACTTGAAAGTGGTTTCCTTCCATGACTGATCAAAATCAAGACATTCCCTTGAGAAATTTAGCCTTACCTGCTTCTGCCTTTCCTGTGCTGACCTGTTAGTATGCGGGTTTGGTGGCATGCGTGACTTGTGCTGCTGCTGCCTGGAGCTGCTGTGTTTGCTGCTTTAGGGCTGCCCACCTCTCTCTGCTGGAGATCGGGGACTGGATCACAGGGAATTTTGATTTCTGAACTGGAAAGAAACCAGCTTTTTCAACAGGAAAATAACACATGGAATCTTCTTTCATCTACTTGTGAAATCAGTTTTGTGGGTTTCTGGATAGATGGTGAAAGCTTTCTGTGCAGTATTTGGATATTGACTTTGAGTGCAACAAATAAGATCATAATTTGATTTTTTTATGGAAATAGAGTTGAGCTGCTGGTGATTGGGAAACCAGACAAGGGACTCCCTCAAACTTGAAAGAAATTCCTGGTTATGGTTTATTCTTGGTGTTTACTTTGACCACTTGTATTTGACCATAGTTTAGTTTTGTCAAGCATACTTGTCTGAGATTAAGGCCAGGAAATGAAGATACCAGCCTAAACCAGCCCTTTCTACCCTACTCCAGCTTCTAGTGATTTGTTTGATTAAAGACTGGGGCAATCGCGGGCCTGTGTACTCTACGAGCTTCAGTACAGGAATTTCACCATGTCTCCAGAGCACCTTTTATTGGCTTCAAATCTCCTAACTGGTTCTATCCTGTTTAATTTCCTTAACAGTAATGATGACAACAATCTCACTTCATCAGAATTTTTAAGGCCTTAAAAAATTTGCCTAACAAATTTTGTAGTACAAGATACTCATTTGCCATTTCCTTTCTACTCTACGTGAAGGTTCCCTAAGGCATGTGAAAAATCCTCCACCCTTAAACAGCAGAAAGTGTCAGCACCCTCTCTGCTCCTTGTGTCTGTGTTAGGGTAGATGGCAAACATTTTCAAGGCACCTCTTTCAAGAAAAGTATGTAACAAAGAAGTCTAATCTCCTGTCACATCTTCTAGTGCCTAACTGCCTCCGAAACCCTAGCTGGAGCCCAGCCGCTATCCCAAGTGTTTACCTCCAAGCTCTCCATCTCTGGTGCATCAGGGGGAGTAACATACCTAGCAGCCATGTGTAATCAGCCAATTTTTATCTATTTACAGGGTTTTCAACTGTATAAATTAATATTTTAAATATTTAGAAATATTTTCTGTGGTGGGCTGGGTTGGGGTTTTTTGGTGCGTTTTTTGTGTTTTGGGGGTTTTGGTTTTTTAGTGT